ATGAGTTAATTTTTAGAAAACATGAAGATAGAACAATCAAGATTTTCTCAAATTCAAGCTGCGTTGGAGAATTAAGAGATATGAGATCAACTACGGGTTATTGTTCGTTTGTATGGGGAAACTTGGTGACTTGGAGAAGCAAAAAACAAATGTTAGTTTCCAGAAGTAGTGTCAAAGCAGAATATCGGGCGATAGCACTTGGAATCTGTGAAGGCATTTGGTTACAAAGACTCTTAACTAAGCTAGAAGTTTGCGACAGAACCTACTTTGAACTTTAGATGATAGTGAGTCAACCTTAAGTATTGCTAAAAATCCAGTACATCATGACAAAACCAAACATGTGGAGATCGACATACACTTCATTGTTGAGAAGGTGAATGGCAGAACAGTAAAGCTAAACTATGTCTCTTCAAAAGATCAACTAGTTGATGTCTTGACTAAGGCACTTTCAAGGATCAATTTCGACGATATTACATCCAAGTTTGGTCTCTATAACATCTACTCCCCAACTTGAGGGGGAGTGTGAGTTATGTTGCGTTTAAATGTAAGTATTAGTGTCCTACTTTAACACTAATTCCATAATCCTACATTGTAGATAAGATATCTATAAGTGTCCTACTTTAACACTAGAATCCTACTTTGTAAATAAAATAACCTTTAGTCTATCTAGGACTCTTAACAATTGCTTGTATAAAATCCCTACTGTATTCTCACAATTTGTGACGTGAATAAAAAAAATATTTTTTTCCGAGAATCCTATTTCTACAAGATTACATAATGTTAGAAAGTTGTCTTCAAGCCTGATAGAGGTTTAAAGAAAAAGAAGATTAATATTTTTTTTGAATAGTCTGAGTGATTACAAGGTAATATTTATTCCTAATTTTTCTTAATTTATTGATAATACATATATACTGAGGTCACTTGATGGGTTCAAAAGATTGATATTTTAAAACAAGAAAAATAAAGAAATTTATTACGTGAAGCCTCTAATTTTATTGAAGTAGTGATGATTTTAAATACAACTAAAAGTTAACTTCTTTCTTGGTAAAGGATTTGTAATATCAACTATAGTTCAAACCAATCGACCCTTCATTATGTACATCTCTAAGAGAAAATAAGTTGATATTGAACATTTTTTTTCATGAAAAAACACAACTGTTATAGATATAAATGGTTGCTTGATTGTTAACGAACACTTGTATGCATCCTTATCATATTCAAATCCATTAAAACTTTTTTATTACTTGATTGACAATAACACTACCTGCAATAAATTTAGCATCTACTATAGATTGTTCCATCATATTCATATTCTACTTTTTGCAGCACCAGGGGAGCACAGCCAGACCAAACTTCAAATGGCAACATATAGTGCTTTTCAAATCATCTATAAGAAGTGTTTCAATTGCACAATTCATAATATAAGTTATAAAGTTTTGTAGTCGTTATACACACCAGGGAATCAATTAGACTTCTATAGAAGATTTATCGACTTTTTTCTGTTTTATTTTCTTTGCTCGACACATTAGAGTGTCTATATTCTTGCAATAGTCCATTCTGAGTTTCTTTGAAAAACAATTAGCATACTTCTTGTAACACTCTCAACTTAATCTAATTGGGAACGGATTGATAATATTACACAACTCATCTAAAGATTAAAAGGAAACAAATTTGCAATATGAAAAACAAAGTAGCTAGGTGAGGCCAAAGGCTCAAAACCCTTATAAACCCCTTTCCTAACTACCCTTACCAACTATGAAGAAATGGAGCTTGAATCAAAGTTTTAGAGGTGATGATTGCAGTACTTACCTTGGGTGCTCTAGTTACAATAGAGAAGAGACAGAAAGATGAGAAGAAGAAGAAGACAAGGAAAATGAGCTTGGGAGAAGGGGTGTCAGCTTCCTCCCTTAATGCAAGCCCGGCAACGTCACCCAAAATTGAATGAAAATCAGTTTTCTATATGCACAAGGTCTAATTACATATTTAGTCCCCCTCTTTATCTCCTAACAAAAAATTTACCTTTTTATGATTATTTCGGTTTAATCATTTACCAATTAAGCTCAAACTTGGCCAACAACTCTAATTATCCAAATTTTCCAGTCTATAGACCTCTCGAATCAATTCATCTTCGTTGAACTTGAATTCTAAAAGTTATATATTAAGTTCCATATCAGATAAATCGATTCGAATAATTGAATTTAAATTAGGTTTATTATGTCTGGCGATACTTTTAAAAATAAATATTAAAAATCTAAAAAGAAAAACAAGAAAAGAGCATAAAGCAAAGAAGAAATTTAAAGAGAAGAAATACCATTGATTTTGAAGTAAATCACCAAATGCATTAAAAGAAAATGGATGAGTTGTGATGCTTTACTTTAGGTGATTAACTATGTAAATACACAGTGCTGAATGCTGATGGCGGCGTTTGCTCAAACGTGACGCTCACAATCCCACAATAATTCCTCACGCCAAGAATCTCCCAACCCCAAACAACTCCACCGCCGTCCTTGGAGTTCCCTCACATTATTATTTATTTTTCTAAAATTTTGGTGTTCGGTCGGTTCATGCTTGCAGGTTGCTTGCTTCACTCTACCATAAACCAACAGCATTTTTTCATTAATTATATATGTTCCTTATCTGTTATACAATTATTGTACTAATATCTAATTTGTCCAATATAAAGAAAAAATTAATATAACTTTAATTTGAAGTTAGAAAGATTAATAAAAAATCATGTAAAAAATAATATATATATATATATATATTAAAATAATTCAGAGTGATTAAAATATAATATTTGTTTACATTGAGGTCACTTGATAAATTCAAATTAATACATATTCAAAATAAATAATGAGTTCTTTATATTTATTCAAAGTAAATCATGTGAATTGATTAAAAATTATTGATAAAAATAATTTATTGTTCCGATATATTAGTATGTGTTTTTTTATATAAATCTGAAGTGAATATGAGATAATATCTGTTGAAGATTTTTGGTCCTTTGACAATGAATATTCATATTTAAATATACATTTTTGGTTCTGTAAGCTGGTTGAAGTTTAATTTTTAATTAATAAAATAATTTTTAATTGAACTAAAAAATTGACAAATGAATGAATGCATAATTCATGATGTTTTATTCATATAAAGAATTATGTTCATATATATTGTTGAAGTCAACTGGTCCATTTTAGAGAAATGAGGCATGCCAATTCACACTATATTATTGTATTACCAAAATAAATCTCAGTGTCTACACTAAACTCCAAAGCTATTTAAGAAAAACAGATAATTTGACATTTTTATTTCATTTTAATCTTTTAGAATGTAATGTTACTTTGCTTCTGCATGTGCTTCGATGGCAAGGCTTCACCCACTCCTAATGATTGGAGTTTACAAAGGATTTAGGAAATTCATCAAATTATTGGTTATAACACAACCGGCATGATTTGGGTGGTTTTCATCAATGGACCCAAAATTTTATGTGAGATAAATAAATTTTAGAAATGAAAATGAATTATAATAAACTATAAAAAATTAAATTATATAAAAATTTAAATTTTCAGAAGGTGATTATCCCGACTGTCCTCTCAATCTATCACTTATGATTTTGTTGCAGGGATGAACCGAAAGGGCTGGGTGAGTGGGGACAGTCGCCCCTTAAAAATTTTAATTATCTTATATTTTAGATTTTTTATGTATTTTCTATTGAAAACTATTTTTGTCAATCTAAAATTTTATACATTTAAATTTATCTCCTATAATTTTATAAATTGAAATTTAACCCTAACATAAAATTCTACCGTCACTCAATTTATTCATCAACAGAACCAAACGCTAATTCATAAACAATAATTGCACATGAAGCTGCATGAGTGAGTGGGTTAACACAATACCCTAATTAGTATAAACCCTATATGTAATGAACAAAATTATTATTTGAGCACTATGTTTTGTATTTTCTTGAGAAAGAAAAAACTAAGCTGAATCCAATATCGACTGAACTATGATTAAGCTTGATAGTGGAAACGTTTTTATTTTTTTTTCTATTTCACAAAATAGATTAACCTTAAATTTACTTTTTAAAATATTATTTTTTCATGCTATTAAATCTTGTGAAAAACGTGTTTGGAAAACACTAGGACAAGGAGAGCCTTATTTCTAGAGACTTGCTGCCTAATGTTAGTAGAAGTATTGATTTTATACCAATTACAGGTTAGTTTAATAACATGCGATGTTAGATTTTTTAAATAAAATTAAAAGTTTAAATTTTAATATTATAAATATATTTCATTGAGAGAGTTATCCCATTATAAATTTTTTTAATACTTAATCTAAATCGATTAATCAATGAATCATGTATAGGTAATTATAAAAAAAGGTACTACTATGTGAATTACTTAATTATTGATTTAAAGAGATCTAAATGTGTTAGATACCGACAGTATGCTAATATAATGGATGAATCAAAATGTTTCGTCTCAGAAATTTTATAAATTTATACTTTAGCAAAAAATTTGCCCCCGCCCTTTGTTAGCATGCTTGTGTTCAATTTGATTACAAAGGCAGTATTATTAAATAATTTAACTTACAAATTGATGATTATTATTAGTAAAGTTTAGTTAAAGGCTAGCTTTATTAATCCCAACAGGTGACGAGAAAACAACCATTCAAAAATGTCAACTTTGGGCAGATGTTAGCAACCTCTAAATAAAGTGTGTATGCATTGTTAAAAAGAAAACACATTACTAAAACAGTGAAGAGATAAAAAAGAGTAGAGAGAAATATACAAGTTTGGTTGGTCCAAGCAAGAAAAAGGTAAAATAAAGGTGGAGAAGCGCAAATTAAGTGGTTCCAGTCTTGCAAACCAATTCTTCAAGTAGGAATCGTTGGGAAAAAGTTATGGGTTTGCTTCAAAGCCGACCGAATCTCACTCTTTTCCTCCTCTCTTCTCTCTATATATAATATTTGTTTATACATGATTTGTAGCTTTCTGGGTTGGGAAACAAAATATATTTGTTTACGGGAGAGCCTTCCTTCTCTTATCTGATATTTCCTCTTGTTTTCAATGATGATGATGATGATGGAGAGTCAAGAGGAAGCTGTTGTTTGTAACGATCAGTTGCAGATTATCAAAGGGAAACGTAGTAAGCGCTCGAGGCAGCTCTCTCCTCTGAGTTTGGCGATGGCTTCGAGCCCGACGACGAGTTCCAGTGGGATGAACAGTGATGATTCGAGAGGGTTTGCATCTCCTGTAACATCTGTTGAGTTTGCAGAAAGCTGCACTGCGGAAGACGAAGACATGGCTAATTGCTTGATACTTTTGGCTCGAGGGCAAACCAGAAAATCTCCACCGCAACCCGTTTCTTTTGCGACGAGCAAGACGGTGAGTGGGGTTTATGTTCACCAGTGCAAGACGTGTAACCGGTGTTTCCCTTCGTTCCAGGCGCTTGGTGGACATAGAGCAAGCCACAAGAAGCCCAAGGTTGTTAACGATGAAGAGGACAATAAAGGGTTGGTGTTTATGAAAGAGGATGTTCATCGGCCATTCAATATCATGAACACAACGCTTTCACTTCAGATAACGAATAAGCCTGTTTTAGGTCATGGCAGCAAACCCAAAGTTCACGAGTGTTCCATGTGTGGCGCCGAGTTCTCATCCGGACAAGCTCTTGGGGGCCATATGAGGCGGCATAGGTCATTAAACAATGTTCAGATTCCGACTCCGACTCCGACAACAACGACGAGTGCTGGAACAAGGACTGTGAGATCTGAATCAGAAGATAAGTCCAAGAAACCAAGAACTGTTCTGCAATTAGATCTTAACCTTCCAGCACCAGAAGATGATCATCAAAGGGAAACCAAACTTCCATTAGTTTCCAAGCAGGAAAAGCTACTGCTCTTCCCGGTTTCTTCTTTGGTTAATTGCCATTACTAGAAGAGCAAACTCCATCTTTTTAGTCAATGTTGTATCATTAACTCGGATTATTTTTCTCATGAAATATAATTCATAATTGTTCATTAATTCTTTGAATTTAACTGGATCCATGTCAGTCAAAATTGAAAAGTTCTTAATTTGGGGAAGTATGTTAACTTTCTATTTTCTTTTCCATGGTAGCATTTGATCCATATAAAGATAATTTTCATTTTCTTCCTTTTTTGGCCATGAGTTTTCCACCACCAATTCCACAACCGAAAGTGGTGGATTAGGTTCTCTTGTTTGGTTTGCAAGAAAGTTAAAGCTCCATATTTTTCTTTATCATTTATCATTAACATGACAAAAAAGATTTAAACGGATGGCAACCAAGCCACCTAGATTAAGTAATCTACACTACATTACATATACTCCCACACTTGGCTTTAGAATCATACTTGTTAATATAGTGACCCATGTGAAGGAAGGAAAAAAAGTTGGCCACTTGATTTAGCTTATTAATAAGACTATGCCTAATTTCGTAGCTAAACTTTTAATTCAGAACCTGATCATGTTGTGTTGTCAGCACGGATGGACCGAGGGATAACTAGAGGTAGTCGTTTCCCCTCTAACATAAAATTGTGCCTCTATTCATCGTTGTTAGCACTACTTTGAAAACTAGAAGGTTGAGAAACCAACCATGATTGCATTAATTACAATAGTTTGAGATTGGATAGCAGGTTTTTCACTGAAAAAAAGTGCCTTTATCTCTCAATCTTATCAACCCATATTTATATACAGCTCTTCAAGTGAACATGTGAACGTAACAGCGTGTCGTTCTGATGTCAAAATAAAAATAGCCTTAATTTTAAAATAAAATTAAATAAAGAATAGTATAGGAAGAGTAAGGGTCGATCCACAAGGACTAGGAGACTGATGAATTTCCCGCTCTTGACTCCGATTTAGGCATGATATAAAGGAAAATAAAAAGAGGGGTTTTATGAGAAATTGAAGTAATTAAAGATGAAAACAATTAAATAAATAAAAGAAAGTAAAAATGAAATTAAAGATGAAGATTCAATACAATTAAATCAACCTTGGGCTTTCTAAAGCTTCTGCCTAGATTCAAATCGATCCTTGAATAGGATTTTACCTCCGGGCTCACGCCGGTTATAGTCTATAGGGCCCAACCCCTATAACTTGTTCTTCTCTCAAATGAATATAGAATCTAAAATCAAATTTTACATCTTAACTCTTTTGTGAATCAATTGCGACAGTCGCTTATTAATTCAACACTTTTAATTTTAGAAAAACCCGACTCGGATTCTATCATCACAATTGAGAATCTAACTCAATTTTAGTTTCCCTTAGAGGACCGTCACTAAGTATGTTTATAGGAAGTCGAATGTGCCACAGGCAGATCCTTCATCCCGACTATTAATCGAAACCGAAATTCAATTTCAACGTGCACTTTTTGAAATGAAATTGTTTTGATTGTAAAAGGATGATCGATTACCAATCCTTGATTTTCGAAAACTGAAAATGTAACCCTTGAGGGTATGATGTGCTTTTCAATTCTCACGACATAGAATCGATTCATTGCTTTAGCCTTCGGCTATGGAAAACTTAGCTAAACATGATATAAACCATACTTAGCATTTTGAAATAAAAATAAAATAAAAACTAGAAAGGAAAAAAGAGAGAAAACTTTATTAAACTAAGAAAGAAGAAAAAAGAGTTTGGAAAATGAATTCTGAATGATCCATTTGATATTTGAGGCTTACCCCAATGGGGTATTTATAGTCCTCAAAAACCTAAAAGAAAACATTTAAAACTAAAACGATAATTCGGAATATAAAAATAAAATAAATCCTAATTTGAATTCAAAAATTCGGCTGAGTGAGTGATGTCATGCCCACTATTCCGTCCGTGAATCCAGAAAATAAAAAATTGCACAATTTCATTACTTTTAGCATAATTTCCGGAATTCAATGTCCTGTATCGAAAATGAGCGAAAAAGGCCAAGTTAGCAACTTAAAATAGCTAATAAAGAAGTAATTAATCATAAAATAATGTATAATTTAAGCACTAATCAAATTCCCCCTTACTTATTCAATGCTTTTCCTCAAGTATTTCTCAATTAGCATGCAAAATATCTCAAGTTGTCAACTCCAATTTCATAGAATTTCCAAGATTTCTAAGCAAACTCAATCAAGCAAATATAGAAATTCAAGATCAATCAAACAAGGCAAACCAATTAGGTGTAAATCAACCAAGGTATTTCAATCATCCATCAATTTCCAAAGAATTCAAGACTTAGTTCCTCACATGGGTTCACTCATTTTGCTCAAGTGTTTCAGGTGAAAGAATCACTCAAGCCTAAAATAATCAACACATTACCATAGGCTTGTAACTAAATCTAATCTCCACTACTTAGTATGAAAATGATACATTAATCAAGAGGACTTTAATACTGGTTGTAATGGGGCTAAGGTTCGGATAGGATAAAGGCCGAAAGAAAGGGGTTTCAAAAATTCAAGACAAAGTAGAGACTATTCTAAAAATTTATTCAGATGAAGGTAAAAATAAAATGAAGGCGAAACAAGAAAAACAAAGCTTTATTCACACATTTTTTTTTTGCTCGAACCAAGAAATTTTCTACTAACTTGAATCAAAATTGCATTGTTTGAATTTTTTTGCATTGAATTTCTGTACTGTTCGAACCAAATTGCACTAGTTGTTTTTTGTGTTGTTCGAACCAAGTTTTTCCTTATTTTTTCCCCAAAAATAATCTCAACTCGTCTTGAAGAAGGGTAAAAAAAAGAGGGAAAAACAAAATCGGCTCGGGTTTAAAAATGTGGTGAATCAAAGAAAAGGATATAAGGCTCAAAGTGGTTCTCTAGGGGAAAATAAATAAAAGGGTAGGTTATTTTGTTTGGGAAGAGAAATGGGTTTAATCCTAATGCCTCTATCACATCAAAGCATCATAATAACAAATGCGTAGTCTCAACAAACATCGAGTTACATGTTCTAAAATGCAATCGATTAGTTCGACACACTCAATTGAAACAAGGAGAAAGAATAAAATATATGCTCATGAAAGGCTCAAAACTCAAATAAAAGGCGTATTGAACTAAGTCATGCATCCAATTCAATTAATGAATTCATGAAATTACCACGAAAAATTTACACCAACTAATCATCTCATGCTTTCTTTCAACCTAAACTCAACAAGAACATGCTTTGAATTCACAAAGAAAAACAAAGAAATTGGATCAAATTAAATATCAACAACCAAGATCATTCATAATCAAATCAAAAAACAACTCAATTTCAATAACAAAGAATAAGCAAGAGTTAACTTGATTTCTAATTCCACCCCTCACTTAAAATCATATTGCGCCAATATGAACAATAATTAAAATGCATAAGAGAGGGTGAAAATACTCCTCGGTCAATGTTGGTCGCGGCCGCGATCACGTCGTGAAGGGACCAGGAGAAGGTACGAAAGAATCTCGGTAATGTTTGTCTCGATGGAGTCTAGCTGCCCACACACCTCATGAATTTTGCTATGTATGTCCGAGAATGGATGCTCTTCTGGTGCTGCGGGTTGTTTAGTCCTCTGAAGAAACACATACTCATTGGACGGGGTAATTATGCAGGGAGGGACAATGTGTGGCGCACTGGGAGTTCCGACGAGGAGTCACATCGAGTCCAAACACCTAGCAACTAAAGGGTCAATTGAAAAAGAATAAGTAAATTGATTAGAATCAAATGTTAACGGAAATAAACGAGATGCAAGGCGAGTAATGTAAGGTCCAAGAATTATTGGACAATCGGAATGCACAACACGCTGAAAGGTGCGCGCGAACAAAAAACCTAAATTTACCTTCACACCGGTTTGCATACACCATAAGAAAAATAGTTCAACCTTACCTAATAAAGACGTAGTGTCATTACATCCGAAATACTTATATGCAAGGAACTGATGTATGTAGCAGAGAGCGGGATTGTGAATATGCCATATTTTGGTGTTACGCGCATTGTAGGTAGCACCTGGTAAATCGGAAAGTCCTTCATATGCTACATCTGTGTTGAAGTCCCGCAGAATATTACATAAAGAGATTAGAAAATCATGGTCCGTGTCATCCGTCATGAACCCCATAGAACAATTAAAATCATCTAACGATTGAACGAAATGTTGTACAAGTAATATAAATGAAATCACACCTGGCGTATCATTAAATGCTATATGATTTGGAAAAAATGCAAAAGTTGTACAAAACTCAAAAACCAATTCGTAATAGGTAGCATATCGAATTTCAGAGTAAGACGCCAACCAATTGCATGAAAATAGTTCATGGAAGAATCACGCAAATGCAAGGAATCAATAGTGTGATCGAGAATATATTTACCAACTTGGAACTTACAGTGACGGATGTTGTCGAATCGTCAAACCTCTTCATCGTCAAAGTCAAGGTAACCTTGAACTACTTCCTCAGTTGGTTCAAAAAAGGTGCACCCTTTCCGATGACGCTCACGATAATGACCGTGATCGGGTGTATGTCCATCGTGAGGAGACGTTTTGTCGTAACTCAAGGTAAATGATGGTGAATGTCGTTGCTGGTCACGTTTTGAATAGAGGAATATGTCGGCTCTACACTTGGTTGTGGAGGCAGATTTAGAAATCCAGAAGTGAAGTCATCTGAAAAACTATAAACATGATGCCACATTAATAATGGTTCGATAACGACAGGAGTAGAATTTACCTTGGGTTGTCCGGCTTGTTCAGGTTTTATTGATTGTGCTAAATGAGCAACATCTGACATCAATTTAGATTACGACATGGATGACATCGAATAAAATGTCAGAGTGGCTGAAGAGGATTGTCGGTTCTACCGTGGTGCATATGAATCGACAGAACCTTGCAGTGGCACCATAAAATAGATCGAAGAACAATGGACAGAGGCGGATGACATCAGCTTGAGTGTGGGCGAGCAAGCGCACGGTTGTTGTGCACATCGTCCTCCTTATCAGGCAGCATGCATGGATTCACGAACAGGCGGTGGTTGAAACATGGGGTCAGAACCGCTCGGCACCTCAATCAC